AGTGCCTAGGACTTGCTGATCGTAAGGTCGGCGGTTCGAATCCCCGCGGTGGGGTGAGCTCCCGTCGTTCGGTCCCAGCTCCTGCCCACCTAGCAGTTCAAAAGCACCCTTAAGTGCAAGTAGATAAATAGGTACCGCTTTATAGCGGGAAGGTAAACGGCGTTTCCGTGTGCGGCACTGGTACTGGCTCGCCAGTTGCAGCTTCATCACGCTGGCCACGTGACCCGGAAGTGTCTTCAGACAGCGCCGGCTCTTGAGCGAGATGAGCGCGCAACCCTAGAGTCAGTCACGACTGGCCCGTATGGGCAGGGGTACCTTTACCTTGTCCCCAAATACACAAACATGGGGGGGGGGAAATAACAATGATGAAAGATTAAAAAATATATATTGAAAGATGTTCCAGTAGCACCAAGCATCCAGACAGTAAAGTCCACATACACTTCCACTTGCCACAGAAACTAGCAATGAGTTTCTGGAACTATATGATTTTTACCTGTCATGGCATACAGTGTTTCATTGTGATGTTTTTTGTCAGCAAGAACTTGCTGCAATTGATCTTAATTCCTTGTCTTCTCACTAGTTTTCATTGAACACTTCCTTCCTTGTCCCTTGTAAGTTTGTATTTTCAGTTATAGTATGTTGGGGGATATGCAATTCCAGTTATAGGAGGGGACAGGATGAAGCTTGCAAAACAACAATAACAACAACCTGTCATTGTTTTCATCTTAGGGAACATGGTGTGTTTTTCAGCGGTTTTTTCTCATATTTGTGATGAGGTTATTGGGCAACAGATTTGGCTGTTTTAACCTTAATAATTTCAACCTGGTAATTTGTAAAACAACATTGTCTCCATGGGATTCTGCTTTCAGACTTGAAAGCCATATCCAAGCTGCATCATTCAGTTGTGGGGACAAGGCTCACACTGTCAGAAGTATTCTCTTCATTCAACCTGCAAATCCAAAGAAAGCCATAGAGCTGATGGTTTTTAGGAATCTTTAAGTTTTAGGTTCAGTGCTACCATGTGAAAATGACTTTGGAGCTTGATGATAGAGAAACACAGCTTACACTGAGCATCAAGGTTGAGGTTCCTTTCCACATTTAGAAGTGACATTGCCATATAAGCCTGTCTTGGAGGTGTTTTATCTTTATCTGAGTGAAGGATAATCTGTTGGGTGGATAATTTAGCTACTATTACTGTTCACTTTAGCTGCAATTCTGGTACATCCCTAGGGCATGTAAAGCTGTCATGTGCTGCATGGCGCCTCCTAAAGCATTTTTGCCATTCAAGGAAGTTTGGTCAACTTGAAACCTTTAAAGCACTTCTGTACCAGATATGGCTTCCCCCAAAGAATCCCGGGGTCTGTAATTTGTTAAGGCTGCTGAGAATCGTAGCTCTTTTTGAGGGGTCTCCTAACAACTTTCAGCACCCTTGACAAACTACACCTCCCAGGATTCTTTGGGGGAAGCCACAATTGTTGAAATGGCGTAAGAGTGCTTTCAGTGGATTTTACCTATGTGTCCTTGTTTCTTATCCTCCAGCTATCCTCTTGAGCAGTGCTTTTTTTTCCTATAAAAAGAGGTGCACCTTTTTGGGTTGCCAAAGCTGCTGGGACGCAGCACTGTGCAAAAGGTTCTAGTATGCAAAAAAAAAAAAAAAAGAGATGCAAAAACCAAACACAGAGCTGGGGGGGGGGGCGCTGCTCTTGAGCCCCTAGAGATACAACTGGCTATTTGGGGTGAGTGTAGCAAAGGAGAGGTTGTAATAAATGAATCCTGTTACCCTAGGGTTACCAGACATCCCTGGTTCCCAGGGACAGTCCCCGATTCTGCATATTTGTCCCCGGACAAATTCCATCCCCGGAATGTCCCCAGATTTGCAAATCTGTCCCTGGGAAACGTGGCAGCGGCAGCCTCAGCAGCCCGGAGCCAGCCTGGTAGTGCAGTTGGCTCTGGCTGGCTTCAGGAGCTGCTCGCTGCTGTGGTGCCCGCCATTTTTCCTGCGCCTAAGCAGCGAACATCTCCTGAAGCCAGCCAGAGCCAACTGCACTACCAGGCTGGCCCCTCCTGGGCAACGGCCACCCGCCCGCGACTCCCAAGCCTTTGTCAAAACAAAGGGGGAAGGTGATCGGGGAAGTCATGGGCGGGCAGCGTGCCATTGCCCAGTTTTTTTTAAAAAAACTCTGTGTATTTATACAATATGCATGTGTGCTTGGGCCCAGGGTCTTTTGCCTCACCATCCCTACTACTGACTTCCTGTTGCTAACTCAGCTTCAAAAAAAGGGGGGGGGAAGTGTCCCCGGATTCATTGAAAAAAATCTGGTAACCAAATGTTACCCTTTTCAGTGGGTGACACCCAAGCAAAGTCTCTCTAGAAGCAGTAGCTGCTGGCACAGTGCTTTCTATGGCATGACTCCTTGTATAGTATTTATTTTCACTGCTATTAGGGTTGGTATACGTCCAGCATTGAACTGCAAACAGTGGAGGAGGCATGGTAGCTGTAACCTTCCCAACATTTCTTATTGATGCATACAGAGAGGGCATTTATTTATACAACCTGATGCACAGAAGCAGCCTGGTTCTGTAGCTCTGGCTACATCAAGTCTTCAGTAATGGTGGGGAAGGAACTTGTCAAGAGGACACAAAGCAGTTCAAACTCTCCCACTATACTTCGCATGCTCCATCCATGCACAAACATATTTATTCTCTCCGTCCTTAGGCAAACCCATCATTATCAACCAATCTTTTTATGGGGAAATAAATTACAAACAGAGCAAAAACAAACAGAAGACAAGAGCACTTAATATGTTTAAAGCTGTTTCCATAATCATTTCCTCTGGACATTATTTCTATTGCCACAGCACTCAATATTCTCATTACACGTTTTTAATTTATAATTCACTCAGTGTTTTGTGTTAAGTGTTTCTGTTGAAGAATCATTGTGTGTTCAAAGTGGCTGTGTCATTTTATTTGTCTATCCCAGTGGAATTTTAGGTTGATATTTTAGCTGTTAAAATTCAAAACAATTCTGACAGTGGTTGAAAAGGACTCCTGGGTACCCAATTTATTTGTCTAAATTCTAAATGGCTTAAACACTGAAGTCTGTAAAATAAATTATATATAGCTGGGATTAAAATGAACAAAGCCCTGTATTTCCCCTTTGGGAAATGGCTTTAATTTAAAAAGAAAATGATGTTGCTCTCTTTGTGTAATGTTTTACAGTGAGATAAAAGTTTTATCTAAACTGGCAAAGGGTATGACTTAGAAATTGCTATTGGAGCACTGGTAAAATCATGAGGACACTCACAAAAGTTAATTAGCTGCTAGGGGTGTTACTGCCTTACATAGCACTATTCTTTTTTTTTACTCAGGGTTGCTTCACACATTACAGATTTCCTGCGCTGAAAGCACTTTCTATGTAGGAAACAGAGTGAAACCCCTATGTAGATTGATGATGGATTTATGTGTTGATCTTACATGGGCTTCATACTGTTTCCTACCATTGATGGAAACAGTTTCCAGACAGGAAACTGTTTCCTTCAATGCTGCCCTTAAGGAACAGGATCAATTGGAAAATGCATTAGTGCCAAGGAAAACTTCCTTCCCTCTTCCCCCACTTTTTGGTAAGTTATTTCTAAAGGATGAGGCACTGTCGATGGGGTGGGTAGTAATGGATTTGGCTAGGGCCATGTGGGAACTTGTTGGTCTCTCTTTCCCCCCCTCCCCCCCTGCTAAATACCACCTAGTCCATTTACTGAGCTCATGAGAACTGGATTGTGTCCATGGTTACTCGTTCATAAATCCCATATATTTATATTTTACTATATTTATATCCCAACTTTCCTCCAAGCAGGTCAAGGTGGTGCACATAGTTCTCCTCATCCCTGTTTTTTCCTGACAGTAATCCTGGGAGGTAGTGTTGGGTTTTATGGCTGTGTTGGGATTTCAACCCTGATTTCCTAGGTCTTGGTTTAACACTAACCACCACATAATACTCACTCTCAGTTGAACCTATGCACTTCTACAGGACCACAACCAAATGGTTGGGCCATACTTCCCCCCTAAATTAAAACTGGATACACATTTACAGTTGCAGTCATTTACATTTGTGAGTGAAAATAGCCCATCTTTGAAGGTGATTCCAATTCCATCTTACTCAGAGCTGTTGCAACTTCAGCACAAAACTAAATGAGATGCAGATTGCATTTCCTTCGTATGACTACGATATGCTTTGGAACTTCAAGAGCCATAAACTGCAATCCTGTACGCACTTGCATGACAGCAAATACCACTGAACACAGTTAATGCTTAATTCCAAGTAAGCATGTATAGAATTCTAGTGTAAATTCTCTATGTTTAAAGAGTATTGAACTTAATTTTCAACAGTAGGCAGGATTCAGTCCAGTTAAGGACACATCTAGGTTCCATTTATCAAAGTGGGAGAGTTAGCCTTTGGTCCTAAGGAGTAAATCCTATTGAACACAGTGGAACATCAAAATCAGGTTCCATGAACAAGCTGTCAGGAGCCTTGGACCAACGTATTCCCTCCTATTACCCCATCTCAATCATGCACAGTGATACTATGCACAGTAGTTCCTATTCTAGTTGACAAAAAACAACACTTAACCATTTTTCTGAGCCAGCAAATTAAACTATGGTTTGATTGCGAACCAAAGTAGGAAGCATGGAATTGCCATGCAAGAAGGAGCATACAAGCCCAGAGCTGCTGGGTTCAATTAGCCATATTATATTAAAATATTAAGGTGGGAGAAGGACAGTTTGATATGTGTCATTGGGGAAACCTTGTATGTTTCCATGTCTGAGTAATGCTAAAAATGGAACATATAGTAACTAAGCAACAAACAGGAAAAGGAATACATTTCTCAGATCTAATCTCAAAGGTTGAGCACTTTCAGAGTGTTTTGAATGTCAGCCCTTGGTATGAAAGGCAGTGCAAATAAACTCTACCTTTGCTCACTCGTTGTTGCTGTCCTTCCTGTCAGGATCTGTCACTGTGAGGGAGATGACGAAAGCCCCCTCATCACACCGTGTCGCTGCACAGGGACCCTGCGTTTTGTTCATCAGGCCTGTCTGCATCAATGGATTAAGAGTTCAGACACACGCTGCTGTGAACTCTGCAAGTATGACTTCATAATGGAGACCAAGCTCAAGCCTCTTCGAAAGGTACGGTGCTAAGAATTAAATCCATCCGATGTGAGCTGCCAAAGCTGAAGTTAACATTTCCAGTCTAGGTCATCCTTTCTTCTGCTTTGTTTGATGCATGCAGCTCTGTGACGTGTGTATTTTACAACACCATCGATCTTGTGCTATATCAATTCCCATATTTCAGCTTTGTCATCTTATAACTGCTATTTCTTTTAATTTCCTTCCGCTGGAATATTACGATGCATATTTCTTATGCATATTCTTAACACGAAGCATTGTATTACAGTTTCTGAGGTTGCTCATTTCCGGTTGCCTTGATTGAGACTCTGTATTAAGCTAATCAAGTACATATGACAAATCTTGCACAGTAAGTTGCTGCTTTGCTGAAATCGTTGTGGAAAAGTCAAGTCTCCCTCACTTTCAAATCACACCAGTTCAATTATTTTGAAGTCCTTGGCCCATGGTCCCAAGTTGGATGGTCTACTCAGTTTTGCCACATTGTATCCCTAGATGTAGGGACGCGGGTGGCGCTGTGGGTTAAACCACAGAGCCTAGGACTTGCTGATCAGAAGGTCGCTGGTTCACATCCCCGCGACGGGGTGATCTCCCGTTGCTTGGTCCCTGCTCCTGCCCACCTAGCAGTTCGAAAGCACGTCAAAGTGCAAGTAGATAAATAGGTACCGCTCTGGCGGGAAGGTAAACGGCGTTTCCGTGCGCTGCTTTGGTTCGCCAGAAGCGGTTTAGTCATGCTGGCCACATGACCCGGAAGCCGTACGCCGGCTCCCTCGGCCAGTAAAGCGAGATGAGCGCCGCAACCCCAGAGTCGGTCACGACTGGACCTAATGGTCAGGGGTACCTTTACCTTTACCTTTATCCCTAGATGTATCCAGTTTCCTTATATGCAGCTGGCTTCATATAACTGACCCATCCCAGAGCCATTGCTTTGGGCCCTCTGCCTTCAGTCCACTGTCCTTGGCCCTGTTCCTCGCTCTTTTTTCATTTTACTCCTAACCTTTTAACTCCTTGCCAAGCACACCTGTGTCCCGTCCTCCACTCTATCCTGTTTGCAGCATACTGTACAGTGAGTCTGTAACGTTATTATCTAAAAGTCATGCACATGATTATTCTTGTTGATTACATTGCTACTATTACCAGATATCATTCATCGATAGGATAATCCTCAAGAGGACAGACTGATCCCTTGGCTTTCAGAAATCACATATTTATTTGAGGGTGTCCACATCAGCGCTATTTCTCCAGTTTTTGAATTCAACTTCCAAAGTTTCTCGCCAAATTCCAAAGTTTGCAAATGGCAGGTTCTTGCTTACTTGAATTAATAAAATATATGAAAATTATTTTATGAAAATAATTATGCACTTTGCAGAGTTAAGACACACCAGAAAGCTAATAAAAGGTATGCTTATACACACAAACACACCCCGTATGTATGCCATAATTCCATAGATGACCAGAAAAGCAGCCGTATGTGTTATTCACCAGGAATAATAGATCAAGATCCCCATGTTTCCTGGCTTTAATGTTTAAAAAAGCATGTCTCTAGCTCTTCTATTGCAAAATATGCTTGAAAGTGTGTGAGCAATAGCTAGTGAAATGTCAGAAGCCAAAGGACTTGCTTGAGGTTTCCATTGGTCAGAGTGTGCAGCTTCAGTAAAAAATAAAGCTTCCTATCTGTGTGACTGGTAGAAGGAGAATAAATCATTCACAATAAGAGGGGAAATCGGGGAAATCTTAAAAATAATATGTAATTTGCAAAATTCTGCTTTGCATGTTGCAGAATGTAGGGTACTTCAGCTCAGAATTATAAATTAATTTTATTTATTTATCACAGAATTCAAACAGGCCTTGTTATATTTTTCTGCCCAATGATCTACAGTGTCTGTCTTGTGTGAAATTGTTCTTCTCTCTACTGAGCATGTTACAGAATTAATGGAAGCTTGATTATTAACCAAGTGTTTTTGCTTGTCCCTGCAGAGGCAGAACTCAAGGGGTCCATATATTGATCAGCCCTTAATATGTTCTACACTAATAGTTATGTATACATTAACAGCCATGACAGTTTGCACAAGCTGAAATCTGAACCTTCGGTAATTTCTGATGTCCCCAATTTATCTCAGCAATCTTTCTGAACTCTTCACTAATCCCACTCAGTCATTTGAACATAACAGATATATAAACCATTATGCACATTCCTCCTCTTCATAGTGCAGACTCACAAGAATGTTGTCAGAACCATTAGAGTAGGTGAGAAGCTGTTCACAATGAAATCAGTAAGAGTTTGCTTCCAACTTCTACAGGTCATTTTAACAGGAACATAGCAGGTTTTTCTTGGCTACCATTGCATTATTTTTACATATGGAGTAATGCTAGAAAACAGAGAAGCGTTTTCAGACAAAAATGCACTATGTCACACCTTCTGGAATCACAGAGCCATTAAAAAACTCCTCGGTCCTTGCTGTACCTTCTTGTTGTTGCGTTCAGTGAATTTTACAGACAATATTCATATACCCTTTGTACTGGTGAAAGTGTTGCATAGGCTTGAATAGTTAGCTTTATATTGCTATCACATGTTCATAATTTTATACGACAGCCCTCCCCTCACAGTCCTAACTTAATAATTCTTGTCCAGCCTGTAAGACTCCATAAAGCTCACAATATGTCCACAAAGAGCTTAACATCAGGGTGTAACAATGGTAGTAAATGGGGCAGTAGGATAAATCTTAGTGATTAGCATCCTTCACCTGTTCCAGATCAAGGAACCCTGTTCCCCCCTTATCTTACAGTATACTTGAAAAGGTAAAAAATAGCCCCGTCCAAGTGCACTTAGACTTGCACTAGGCTGCATAGGCAACTTATATTTAAAGCACATTCAAAGCATCCCTGCCCCACCCGCTCTGATTCCTGGGAACTGTTGTTTATTAGAACTGGAATTACCAGCCCCCTTAACAAACTCCAGTTCCCTGGATTCTTGAGGGGGGGGGGCTTTTAAATGTATAGATACGGTTCAGTAAGGAGGTATCCCCTTAGGGAGACCCTATAGCCAAGATATGAAAAATGGCTCAAGACACAAGAACCTATTGATATCACTGCACATTTAGCTGCCTTCCAGAGGGAGGGCAGGGCTCACATGGGATTTGCCATCCCTTCTTCCTCAGTGCTCCCTTCACCCTAGAGCAAATGCCAGGCTTCTTTTTGGCTGGATAAATCATGGTGCTCCCTATCCATGGTATGCATAAGTGTGGTTTGTTGAAATTCTGGATATTCTGTGTGTGAAGAACTCAGGACTATTGAGACACTGCACAGATTTTGGCACTATGGTAACCGAAATTCTGTGAACCAAAAATACAATGTTGCAACCAGTGTACATTCTGACCCTGGAAATCTTACTTAGCAACCCTGCCAGTTTTTGAGATTTCACTGGGCATTGTTGCCAATATACCTTTGAACATGTATCTTCTAAACCAGAAGTGCTAGAACTGCACTTTAAAAAGCAAGAAGAGCAAAGTGAAAGAAATATATTAGGAAGCCACATTCTGTGCTTTGTCTGTGCTTGTGTGCAGTTGCAGCATGGAATGGCTCTGTGATTTGTTGTGTGTGTGTGTGTGTGTGTGTGATTTGTGGCCTGTGAGGCACCTTTCACACAATTGCAGGACACTATCCCATCACTAGACTCAACTGCCTGTCTATTCAGCTTCTGTGCATGGAGTAGAGGTGGGGGGATACTACTTTGTTCTTTGCCTCAGGCAGCAAAATGTATTGGGCTGACCCTGTTATTCACTGACTTGTTACATGTACCATAATCCTATAACCACATTTTTCTGCACCAGGGAGCACACTTCCCTGTTCCTCTGCTTGCTTCCTTTTCTTTTGGTTCCCCAAAAGATCTCTATCCATTTGTTTCAAAAAGGGACCTGAAGTTGATAAGTGACTTGCAGAATCACGTTCTTGGCCCAATCCAAACATTGTCTGAAAAGAAAGTTTGCTGTGGTGCTACAGATTACTAACACCACCACCACACACACCCCACACACACCCTCCACAATCCCTCAGTCTCCCAAAAGCTTTATGCTGGTGGTGAAAATTAATATGTTATTGCTATTATTTAATATAAGAGTGCCAGAAAGTAATGGTCATAACTGGCTGTGGCTAAGTCCCTTTTCACTTTTGACATTAGTAAAGGAAGGAAGGAAGGAAGGAAGGAAGGAAGGAAGGAAGGAAGGAAGGAAGGAAGGTGAATTCCTGGAATTTGTGACATGTATGCAACTAATGGTAGGATGTAATACAAACAATTTTAAGTTTTATCTAAGTCATTACAGGCTCCTCTCACTCTTCACCCCTTCAATTGTTGATTAAATTTTCACTGACTGGTTTGGTGACAATAATTTTGCACAGTTGTTCACTGTGTCCCTGCGCTTTGCTCTGCATTTTTGGCCAGCTAATCATACTTCCAGCTCCCTTCTGGAAGAGATATTTCTTTAACAGTAGAATCTGAATCAAATCTGAAACTGAATATGAATCAAACAGTAGAATCTGAAACAAATCCTTGTATGATAAATATTTTGTGCTAGAAGATGTGAAGCTGCTGTGATTTGAACTCAGTTTCTAATAAGTGTCCATGAAGCCCATGAAGTTTTATTTACTATTCTGATCATCAACTTAACAGTATTAAGTACTATACAGTACAGAAAAACTTTTTGCTCTTTACCATCAGACCCAGAAAGAGCCACAATTCTTTACAAATTCAGATTGTAATAGGGATCACAATTTAGTTCTATAGTGGAATAGTAGCCAACCTTCAAAATTCATCTGCTGTTTTCTCTTCCCTCTCCCTCTGGAAGGAAGAGCCTGGCAACTGAATTGTACCCTGAAAAGACCCTGCCATGCACACAATAACATAATTATATTGTACCTTTTGTGTGGATTTTAATTTGGGGTGGGGGAGCTACTCATAGTTGAAAGGTTTTAATTAACTGCTTGATACCACCGTACTCCAAGTCCAA